AACAGTCTTGAAGGAGTTCCCACATATGCTGAACACTTGCTGGCTGCTTTTCCTTCACTCTGCTGTCCAACTCATCCCAAACCATCTCAATTGGGTTGAGGTCGGAGGATTGTGGAGGCCAGGTCATCTGATGCAGCACTCCGTCACTCTCCTTCTTGGTAAAATAGCTCTTACACAGCCTGGAGGTGTGTTGGGTCATTGTCCTGTTGAAAAACAAATGATAGTCCCACTAAGCCCAAACCAGATGGGATGGCGTATCGCTGCAGAATGCTGTGGTAGCCATGCTGGTTAAGTGTGCCTTGAATTCTAAAAATATCACAGACAGTGTCACCAGCAAAGCACCCCCACACCATAACACCACCTCCTCCATGCTTTATGATGGGAACCACACATGCAGAGATAATCCGTTCACCCACACCGCGTCTCACAAAGACACGGTGGTTGGAACCAAAAATCTCAGAATTGGACTCCAGACCAAAGGACACATTTCCACCAGTCTAATGTCCATTGCTCGTATTTCTTGGCCCAAGCAAGTCTCTTCCTCTAATTGGTGTCCTTTAGTAGTGGTTTCTTTGCAGCAATTGGACCATGAAGGCCTGATTCACACAGTCCCCTCTGAACAGTTGATGTTTAGATGTGTCTGTGACTTGAACTCTGTGAAGCATTTATTTGGGCTGCAATTTCTGAGGCTGTTAACTCTAATGAACTTAAACTCTGCAGCAGAGGTAACTCTGGGTCTTCCATTCCTGTGGTGGTCCTAATGAGAGCCAGTTTCATCATAGCGCTTTATGTTTTTTGCGACTGCACTTTAAATGTTCTGTATTGACTGACCTTCATGTCTTAAAGCAGGGTTGCCCAACCCTCTTTCTGGAGAGCTACCCTCCTGTAGGTTTTCGCTCCAACCCCAGGTGTTACTAACCTGATTCGTCTTATCAACCTGCTAATTATTAGAATCAGGTTTGCTAGTTTAGGGTTGGAGCAAAAACCTACAAGACGGTAGCTCTCCAGGAACAGGGTTGGGCAGTCCTGTCTTAAAGTAATGATGGACTGTAATTTCTCTTTGCTTATTTTAGCTGTTTTTGCCATAATATGGACTTGGTCTTTTACCAAATAGAGCTATCTTCTGAAATTCCACAAATTAACTTTTAACAAGGCACACCTGTTAATTGAAATGCATTCCAGGTGACTACCTCATGAAGCTGGTTGAGAGAATGCCAAGAGTGTGCAAAGCTGTCATCAAGGCAAAGGGTGGCTATTTTGAAGAATCTCAAATATAAAATATATTTTGATTTGTTTAACACTTTTTTGGTTACTACATGATTCCATATGTGTTATTTCATAGTTTTGATGTTTTCACTATTATTCTACAATGTAAAAAATAGTAAAAATAAAGAAAACCCTTGAATGAGAAGGTGTGTCCAAACTTTTGACTGGTAGTTTGTGTATATATATATATATATATATATATAGTTGCGTTTTATATTTTAGTTCAGTGTGTGTGTGTGTGTGTGTGTGTGTGTATGTGTATATATATATATACTGCTCAAAAAAATACAGGGAACACTAAAATAACACATCCTAGATCTGAATGAATGAAATAATCTTATTAAAAACTTTCTTCTTTACATAGTTGAATGTGCTGACAACAAAATCACACAAAAATTATCAATGGAAATCAAATTTATCAACCCATGGAGGTCTGGATTTGGAGTCACCCTCAAAATTAAAGTGGAAAACCACACTACAGGCTGATCCAACTTGATGTAATGTCCTTAAAACAAGTCAAAATGAGGCTCAGTAGTGTGTGTGGCCTCCACGTGCCTGTATGACCTCCCTACAATGCCTGGGCATGCTCCTGATGAGGTGGCGGATGGGATCCTCCCAGACCTGGACTAAAGCATCCGCCAACTCCTGGACAGTCCGTGGTGCAACGTGGCGTTGGTGGATGGAGCGAGACATGATGTCCCAGATGTGCTCAATTGGATTCAGGTCTGGGGATCAGTCCATAGCATCAATGCCTTCCTCTTGCAGGAACTGCTGACACACTCCAGCCACATGAGGTCTAGCATTGTCTTGCATTAGGAGGAACCCAGGGCCAACCGCACCAGCATATGGTCTCACAAGGGGTCTGAGGATCTCATCTCGGTACCTAATGGCAGTCAGGCTACCTCTGGCGAGCACATGGAGGGCTGTGCGGCCCCCCAAAGAAATGCCACCCCACACCATGACTGACCCACCGCCAAACCGGTCATGCTGGAGGATGTTGCAGGCAGCAGAACATTCTCCACGGCGTCTCCAGACTCTGTCACGTCTGTCACATGTGCTCAGTGTGAACCTGCTTTCATCTGTGAAGAGCACAGGGCGCCAGTGGCGAATTTGCCAATCTTGGTGTTCTCTGGCAAATGCCAAACGTCCTGCACGGTGTTGGGCTGTAAGCACAACCCCCACCTGTGGATGTCGGGCCCTCATACCACCCTCATGGAGTCTGTTTCTGACCATTTGAGCAGACACATGCACATTTGTGGCCTGCTGGAGGTCATTTTGCAAAGCTCTAGCAGTGCCCCTCCTGCTCCTCCTTGCACAAATGCGTAGGTAGCAGTCCTGCTGCTGGGTTGTTGCCCTCCTACGGCCTCCTCCACGTCTCCTGATGTACTGGCCTGTCTCCTGGTAGCGCCTCCATGCTCTGGACACTACTCTGACAGACACAGCAAACCTTCTTGCCACAGCTCGCATTGATGTGCCATCCTGGATGAGCTGCACTACCTGAGCCACTTGTGTGGGTTGTAGACTCCGTCTCATGCTACCACTTGAGTGAAAGCACCGCCAGCATTCAAAAGTGACCAAAACATCAGCCAGGAAGCATAGGAACTGAGAAGTGGTCTGTGGTCACCACCTGCAAAACCAGTCCTTTATTGGGGGTGTCTTGCTAATTGCCTATAATTTCCACCTGTTGTCTATTCCATTTGCACAACAGCATGTGAAATTTATTGTCAATCAGTGTTGCTTCCTAAGTGGACAGTTTGATTTCACAGAAGTGTGATTGACTTGGAGTTACATTGTGTTGTTTAAGTGTTCCCTTTATTTTTTTGAGCAGTATATATATATATAAAATATACTGAACAAAAATATAAACGCAACAATTTCTAAGATTTTACTGAGTTACAGTTCATATAAGGAAGTCAGTCAATTTAAATAAATACATTTGGCCCTAATCTATGGATTTCACATGACTGGGAATACAGATATGCATCAGTTCTTCACAGATACTGTACCTTTAAAAAAAGTAGGGGCATGAATCAGAAAACCAGTCAATATCTGGTGTGACCACCATTTGCCTCATGCAGCGCGACACGTCTCCTTCGCATCCCAAACATGCTCAATGAGTGACTGTAATGTCTGAGCATGGGACAATTTCAGCTTCTAGGAATTGTGTACAGATCCTTGCGACATGGGGCTGTGCATTATCATGCTGAAACATGAGGTGATGGCGGCGGATGAATGGCACGACAATGGGCCTCAGGATCTTGTCACGGTATCTCTGTGCATTCAAATTGCCATCAATAAAATGCAATTGTGTTTGTTGTTCGTAGCTTATGCATGCCCATACCATAACCCCAACGCCACCATGGGGCACTCTGTTCACAACGTTGACATTAGCAACCGCTCGCCCACACAACGTCATACATGTGGTCTGCGGTTGTGAGGCCGGTTGGAAGTACTGCCATATTCTCTAAAACGATGTTGGAGGCAGCTTATGGTAGAGAAATGAACATTCAATTATCTGGCAACTGCTCTGGTGGACATTCCTGCAGTCGGCAAGCCAATTGCATGCTCCTTCAAAACTTTGTGGCATTGTGTTGTGTGACATTTTAGAGTGGCCTTTTACTGTCCCCAGAACAAAGTGTATCTGTGTAATGATCATGCTGTTTAATCACCTTCTTGATATGTGGATGGATTATCTTGGCAAAGGAGAAATGCTCACTAACAGGGATGTAAACAAATTTGTGCACAAAATTTGAGACAAATAAGCATGTGGATAATTTCTGGAATCTTTTATTTCAGGTCATGAAACATGGGACCAACACTTTACATGTTGCATTTATATTTTTGTTCAGTGTATATACGGTGTGTGTGTATATATAGAGTATGGACAGTTTATGAATAGAAAAGGTGTGTACAGCAGTAGTTATATAGGATGAGCTGTGATTAGAATACAGTCTATACATATAAAGTGGGTAAAACAGTATGTAAACATTGTTAAAGTGACCAGTGTTCAATGTCTCTAAATACTGTATATGGGGCAGCAGTCTCTAAGGTGCAGGACAGAGTACCAGGCTGTAGCCGCTCTGAGGATGCGGCTTGGGATGCCATCCGGGCCGGCAGCCTTGCGAGGGTTAACACGCTTCAAAGTCTTACTCATGTCGGCCACAGAGATCGAGATCCCACAGTCCTCGTGAGCAGCGGTGGCCCTCATCAACTCAGTGTTGTTCTCCTCAAAGAGGGCAAAGAAGGTGTTCAGCTTATCTGGGAGTGAGGCGTCGATGATGTTGTTGGATGAAGTTAGGGGCATATTTTTATATCTAATTAGTTTCAGACACCAGAACCAAGCAGGGTGACTTGGACAAATAGGCTAGCCTTTAGTCAGTCCACACTGAATAGAGAAACAATATTCTGTTTGGATTCCAGGCTTCGAATTGGCAGTTTTAACTTTGCCCATGACTTTCACTCTCCTGTCACTCCACCCTATTCCCTCTTCCTCTTTACCCCCCCCCCCCCCTCTCTCTTTCCCCTCTAATTTAATTCGAAGGTCATTTTATTGGCATGGGAAACGTGTTTACATCGCCTAAGCAAGTGAAAAAACAAAAACAAAACAGCAACGACAAAAAACAACAAAGCAAATTAAACAAAACAAAGACAAAAATAATCAGACAATAACAGTGACATTACACACAACTCTCTCTCGCTCTCTCTCTCTCTTTCTGTATATATATATATATATATATATATATATATATATACTGTATGTGTTTTCCATGTCAACTGAGCACATATCTTGTGAGTCTGGTTGGATAATTAATTTCAGTATGTGATCATGAGTAAGTATTAAATAACCTGGTATTCCTTATACATTCATCGAAATACTGTTTTAGATGAATTTGCTTTAGAGAAAGCAATGTCTTGCATTAGCAAAAACTTCAATTCAAATAGAAACCCTTTAAGACTTTAACACAGCAATTAAATCAGCATTATATTACCTTAATGAAAGAGGTAGACCTAGAAATGCCACCATCTACAACAATTAGACAAAAGTTAGACAGCAATATTCCTTGGTTTTAGTTACAATCACTTAGGCCACAGTCAGGAATAAATTCAATGGACTCTCATTTCTAGGCATCTACGTAGTCCGAGTTCCCGCATATCACCCCTGCGTCCTCGTAATGGGCACAGTTATGCATACCTACGCCCGTGTGTTGACAGTCCAGCAGGCTCTCCTCTGTCCCCTCACACTGGACATCGTCCAGAAGAATCCGGAGACTCTTCCCTTCTCCGAACTCCGAGTGCTTGGACGCCTTCAGGGCGAACCGGAACCCCAGCTGTCGACAAACCACTGCTGCGTTTTTCGTATTCCACAGGTCGTCGCACACCGTTCCCCACTCCCCGTTGGCGAAGATCTCCACTCTCCCCCGGTCGTCCCGTCCCTGCTCGTCCCCCGCCAGTCTCACCACCCCATTCTGAGGCACGGCTGCTGGCGCCGACCCGCTCTCCGACCGGTGCTTGCCCTTCTTCCTGCGATGTTTCCGTCTTGTGTGCCTGGGCAGTTTGGTTGTGGTGGTGGTTGGAGGAAGTGTGGTGGTGACGGCGGCAGCCTCTTGCTCCTTTAGAATGTCCATGAGCTCCTGAAGCCAGTCCTTGTCGGACTCAGTTACTGCAGACTCAGTGGGATGGGGTCTGACGGTTTCTTCTGGCGGGGAGAGATTTGGACGCTTGGTCGGTAGTTCAACTCCTGTTAATGCTGTAGAATATAAGAAGAGGTCAGATGTAGGATAACTACATGGACAAGACTAATGTATAGTTGTGGGAGATTAGGTTATAATTAGCATGTAGGACTATCTACAGTGTAATATACGTTTAATAGGAATCTGGCATTCTCAGAGGTCTAAAAACATCTCTCAAATGACTTAATAATCTGTGAATTGACGATGAAGTGAATAATCAAATTGAAGCAGTGAAGTCTAGTGTGTATTTTACTGACATAAATGTTTGATTGAGCAAAGGAGGCCAAATAAAACAAACAAAATAAAAGCAGACAGACAGACGGATAGAGATGAATGTTGAGAGCCAGCATACTCACTTTCCTTTGGTTTGAATTTGATGAGCTTGCCCTTCACTCTGACAGGCAGCGGGTCATAGTGACATTTTCTTGGCGGTGCCCGTCTAAAACAGACAAAAGACAAAAAGAAAAGTCCTCAGCAGGGTAGAAAACTAAATCAGAGGGTGAGAAGCCAGAGGTTCACACCAGTTTCATGCGGCCTCTGTTGAGAAGTTGGCTCTTTAGATGTATTTGATTAGCTTTCAGCTGGTCTCTTTCCCAGAATGAGTTTGAAGGCCTACTCTACTCTTCCCTTTCCAAACATTGCTGTGGTAGAGACTAATTAAAATCAGCTTTGTGAGTGAGTGATGTTCTTGTCCCTGTGGCGGGCCGGGCGCAGTGCACGCTGACTCGGTTAACAGGTGTACGGTGTTTCCTTCGCCACATTGGTGCGGCTGGCTTCCAGGTTAAGCGGGCAAGAAGCAGGGTTGGGTTGTGTTTCGGAGGACACACGACTCTCGACCTTCGCCTCTTCCGTGTCCGTACGGGAGTTGCAGCGATGGGACAAGACTAACTACCAATTGGATACCACGAAATTGGAGAGAAAAAGGGGGTAAAATACCAACAAAAAAAAAGAACACAGAACACAGAGAGACTGAATTTACCATGGAAATCAGATTAAGAACTACAGGCACGTTCTTCTGATTTTAAAATAACCAGATCAGTAATCATGAACTGATGCTCAACATGTTTCACTGATTTGTTTAGTCTTTGTCTCTTTTAAAAAGTGTGTGTCTATGACAGTGTTGCTAGGCTTCTGTCATCTTCAAGAGAAGAGCAGTAAACTTTGTTAAATCCTCACCTAACCAAACAGTGGCAGGGTCAGGCTGTTTTAATTGCAGATTATGTCTTTAAATCCTTACCTTGAGGGATCCACCAGTTTGTAAACCACACCGGTGGGAGATGTGGCACTGGGCACTCCAGTAGACATGAAGTACAGTTCTCCTGTTGAGACAGAAAAATAAAAATGTCACCTACAGTAATTTAAAATCTAGCTAGATTCCTGGACTCTTATTCAATTCTCTAAAGAGCATGCTTTTTAGTCCAGGACTAGGCTTAATCTTGGTTTGAGAAATTGGCATAATGTGTGCAGCCTAGAGATCTGATGATTAAAAACCTTTTTCCGTTGCCTGTGACCAAGGGCAAACAAAAAGAGGTGTAATGTGACTCCTCCTACCTGCCTCGTCCTCCGCGAAGGAGATGATGTACTGGTAGTAGTTGTTGATGAGGCCAGGGAAGGCACAGGTCAGACCCATGCCCATACAGATCTCATGGTAGTCCCACTGACCCGTGTTCCTATTCTCCTGGAGGCTCATCATACGCCTATAGGGAAGAGACACTACATTTTAGAATTGATAACATTTTTCAGGATGCTTTCCTTATAGGCTATACATGAAAACATAAAACACAACCTTCTAAATGTATTTAAAAGACACCTGCTATATAGTATCAACATCCATAACCACTTTTAGGATTTGAATTGAACTTAAAATGATCAACACATACAGTAAGGAGCCTTACCCACTCATAAAGTCTCCAAATATGTACATGCCGTTCAGATTGGGGTATTCACAGCCTCTGTACACATAGCCGCCAGTCACAGACTTGCCCATCTTGTGAGGGTAGGCATAGATGGGGAGTACATCATCTGGAAGAGAACAGAAGCAGGAGATAAGAGACTTCGTGCAGAGCCTGTGATTTTCCAGAAATCCTGATCAGGAGGATTCCCGGATTTCCTGCTTATTCCCTCCTGAGCACTTCCCTTCTAAGCACATAATGACCCTGGAGACCGAGGTTCAAACCCCACGTCACGTCCACCCTTCCCATCTCTTCCCACTCTGATTCCATTACTGTCTAAGGATAAATCAAGTACAGTATATAAAATAAAACAGAAGGAAATCACAGAACAAAACACTCCGTGACCCAGCTACAGGATGCCGGCATGACGATGAGCATTGGAGTTGGCTATACAGCACAAACTGATCTTGGATCAGGCTAAACTACAGGATGCCCACCTAGAGAGCTGTTGGCGCACAGCTTCTTGTCATAACAGGAGAAGCCCTCTTTGGCCCTCCAGCCGTAGTTCCTTCCCTTCTCTATGATGTCGATCTCCTCGAACTTGTTCTGTCCCACGTCCCCGCAGAAGATCCGGCCCTTGCCCTCCTTAGTCAGGGGGTCCCCCCGGTCCACAGAACACCTCCATGGGAGAAACAAGAACAAGTCGACCAATAAAACAACTTAAGTGTGGCCTAGGGAGGTCTAGCGGTCTACTGTGTCAGCATAGGTTTGAATCCGGCCTACTGCCCTTTGACACAACCTCTCTCTATGTGTTCAATAAAGTCAGAAAATACCTTTTAAAAAATGTAAGTAATTACTAACAAAATCTTAAGTAATTACAACTAGTTTACACTTTATAACCAAGTTATTACTCCTTTATTCCATGCAGTAATGTAAACTCTTAACACACTTTTTTTTGTTGTCAGTGTAATGTTTCATGAATTAAAGCATATTAAGTTGTAAAGTTGTAGAAAAAAGGAGCACCTCCACATGTTGCGCACCCCGTAAGCATAGACCTCAGGGCGCGCCCCGTGCTCATGCACGAACGGGTTGTCAGAAGGGATCCTGTACAGGGGACCCCTGTCATTGTCATCAACATCAATACGGAGCACTTTGCCTAACAGGGCTGACCTGCAGAAGAGAGCAGTATGAATGTGGAACATAACACTGTGTCTCTATCTGTAAGTATGATTACTGATTGTCTTTATGGTTTTTAATGTTTTTTTAATGTAAATAGAAGTAATGTATTATTAGCAACAGTGTTAATGTTAACAGCTGTAACTAATCGTTAACATTATATGATTCAATAAGATAATGTCATGAATGTGAGTTCCACAAGTTTTCCTCTCTTCTCTCACTTGTTCTGAGAGTTTCCATATTTCCCAAAAGGGTCACCAGCCATGCCCCCGTCTCCAGTGAAAATGTACAGGTACCCGTCATCAGCAAACATCACCATTCCTCCGTTGTGATTGGACGCAGGCTCGTCAACCTCCAGAATGATCCTGAGAAGGAGTTGGAGACAGAGAAATCAGTGGTAGAAAATCATACAGTAAACGTATTGGCATAGATTTTGTTTGTGCAAAACGTCTTATAGAGAAACCTCCCATTGATGTTCTGTGCAATGACACACTAATCACCTGCCTGTCTCTCCTCAGTGAATCTTAAGCTTGCTGCAAGCTTCACGTGCATAGACTACGTGCGTGCGTGCGTGCACTTGGGTGAAGTACGATTTTTGGAGCAGCAGACACCTTTTGGTAACATGATACCTCGCCGGCCCATGCATTTCTAGACAAAATAGCAACGTTCACAAGACGGCGATAGCAGAGATTATTCTTTTGTCTTTCCATTTGAGGTGGGAAAAGAAGAATCAAGTTGAAAACATCACCACTGTTAGCTAATTTGAAAGAAAACCAACTGCATATTTAAGGAATAGCTAGGCCTACATGTAATGAAAGTTTAGGTTTGATTTACATTACCTCGTTTTGTGCCTCCCATTAGGCTGTAGGTATATCCGCTAGCAACTTGCTAGCCAGCTGGCTAAAAACAGCAAGAAGGCTAGCCTTTTAGCTTCCCACATCTCCTCCATGTGAAATAATACGATTTATAAATAATTTGCCCTGGCAAATATCATTTTCGTCTACTCGCCAGTGTAACCTACAACATTATCCCAATTTGATATGCTGCTTCAATGTATTCACTCACTGAACAAAAAGATAAACAGAACATGTAAAGTGTTGAATGTTCATTTCTCTACCATAAGCCACCTCCAACCGCGTTTTAGAAAATGTGGCAGTACGTCCAACCAGCCTCACAACCGCAGACCACATGTAACCACGACAGCCCAGACCCTTGTACCCTTGTACAAGCTTGGCACACCTGTATTTGGGGAGTTTCTCCCCTTCTTCTCTGCAGATCCTCTCAAGCTCTGTCAGGTTGGATGGGGAGCGTCGCTGCACAGCTATTTTCAGGTCTCTCCAGAGATATTCAATCGGGTTGAAGTCCGGGCTCTGGCTGGGCCACTCAAGGACATTCAAGACTTGTCCCGAAGCCACTCCTGCGTTGTCTTGGCTGTGTGCTTAGGGTTGTTGTCCTGTTGGAAGGGGAACCTTCGCCCCAGTCTGAGGTACTGAGCGCTCTGGAGCAGGTTTTCATCAAGGATCTCTCTGTACTTTGCGCTGTTTATCTTTCCCTTGATCCTGACTAGTCTCCCAGTCCCTGCCGCTGAAAAACATCCCAACAGCATTATGCTGCCACCACCATTCTTTACCGTAGGGATGTTACCAGGTTTCCTCCAGACGTGACACTTGGCATTCATGCCAAAGAGTTCAATCTTGGTTTCATCAGACCAGAGAATCTTGTTTCTCATGGTCTGAGAGTCCTTTAGGTGCCTTTTGGCAAACTCCAAGCGGGCTGTCATATGCCTTTTACTTAGGAGTGGCTTCCATCAGGCCACTCAACTATAAAGGCCTGATTGGGGGAGTGCTGCAGAGATGGTTGTCCTTCTGGAAGGTGCTCCCATCTCCACAGAGGAACTCTGGAGCTCTGTCAGCGTGACCATCTGGTTCTTGGTCACCTTCCTGAAATGTTTCGGTACCCTTCCCCAGATCTGTGCCTCGACACAATCCTGTCTCGGAGCTCTAAAGTCAATTCCTTCGACCTCATGGCTTGGTTTTTGCTCTGACATGCACTGTCAACTGTGGGACCTTATATAGACAGGTGTGTGCCTTTCCAAATCATGTCCAATCAATTGAATTTACCACAGGTGGACTCCAATCAAGTTGTAGAAACATCTCAAGGATGATCAAGGATGCACCTGAGCTCAATTTTGAGTCTCATAGCAAAGGGTCTGAATACTTATGTAAATAAGGTATTTCCGTTTTTTATATTTAATACATTTGCAAAATAAGGTATTTTCACTTTGTCTTTATGGATATTGATGAGGATTTGTATTTATTTAATCCTTTAGAAAAAGGCTGTAACGTAACAAAATGTGGAAAAAGTCAAATGGTCTGAATACTTTCCGAATGCACTATATGTATATTTTTTTACATTTTAGTCATTTAGCAGACGCTCTTATCCAGAGCGACTTACAGTTAGTGAGTGCATAAATTTTTTCACACTGGCCCCCCGTGGGAATCGAACCCACAACCCTGGCGTTGCAAGCGCCATGCTCTACCAACTGAGCTACACGGGGTGTGTGTGTGTGTGTGTGTGTGTGTGTGTGTGTGTGTGTATATATATAAATATATATATTACACAGTAGCAGTCACAAGTTTGGACACACCTACTCATTCAAGGGTTTTTCTTTATTTTTACTATTTTCTACATTGTAGAATAATAGTGAAGACATCAAAACTATGAAATAAGACATATGGAATTATGTAGTAACCAAAACAAAATGTTAAAGAAATCAAAATATATTTTATATTTGAGATTCTTCAAAGTAGCCATCCTTTGACTTGATGACAGCTTTGCACACTCTTGGCATTCTCTCAACCATTCAAAAGTTTGGGGTCACTTAGAAATGTCCTTGTTTTCAAAAGAAAAGCAATTTTCTTGTCCATTAAAATAACATCAAATTGATCAGAAATACAGTGTTGACATTGTTAATGTTGTAAATGGCTATTGTAGCTGGAAACGGCTGATTTTTAATGGAATATCTACATAGGCGTACAGAGGCCCATTATCAGCAACCAATGGCACGTTGTGTTTGCTAATCCAAGTTTATCATTCTAATTGATCATTAGAAAACCCTTTTGCAATTATGTTAGCACAGCTGAAAACTGTTGTGCTGATTAAAGAAGCAATAAAACTGGCCTTCTTGAGACTAGTTGAGTATCTGGGTCATCAGCAATTGTGGGTTCGATTACAGGCTCAAAATGTCCAGAAACAAATAACTTTCTTCTGAAACTCGTCAGTCTATTCTTGTTCTGAGAAATGAAGGCTATTCATTGTGAGAAATTGGCAAGAAACTGAAGATCTCATACAAAGCTGTGTACTACTCCCTTCACAGAACAGCGCAAACTGGCTCTAACCAGAATAGAAAGAGGAGTGGGAGGCCCCAGTGCACAACTGAGCAAGAGGACAAATACATTAGTGTCTAGTTTGAGAAACAGACGCCTCACAGGTCCTCAACTGGCAGCTTCATTAAATAGTAATCGCAAAACACCAGTCTCAACGTCAACAGTGAAGAGGCGACTCCGGGATGCTGACCTTCTAGGCAGAGTTGCAAAGAAAAAGCCATATCTCAGACTGGCCAATAAAAAGAAATGATTAAGATGGGCAAAAGAACACAGACACTGGACTTTCTTTGCAACTCTGCCTAGAAGGGCAGCATCCAGGAGTCGCCTCTTCACTGTTGACGTTGAGACTGGTGTTATTTGATGTTATTTTAATGGACAAAAAAATAGCTTTTGTTTCGAAAACAAGGACATTTCTAAGTGAGAAGCATGGCAACATCAAGGCAACTTTGTAACAGCTAACGCCGTTTTTTCCAAAGCCAAACCCGCCCATTAGCCGCTGAGTCTACCTTTTTAAGATGCCAAAATAGAAAAAAAATTAAGTAATTGTTTTCAGTATCCTAATTTTGTTTTAGTTTGGTGTTTTCTGATTGTTTCATTTCATACATTCAACAAGCTTTGGACGAAGGACTTTCACAGGGCCACCATCTCCAAAGTTCACTCAAAAAGGCAATAGTTCTGAACTGGGTTTGATTTCGTTTTTGTTGTTTTAATTATTTAAATGTTGTTTATCTTTTAAACTTCCATTGGTTTAAAGCTATTTCTCAGTTATCGCTTGGCTCATGTAAATTCTGTAGTTGCCCCTTTAAACATCGTACGGTACCCATAGTGTTGACATTTATCTCATGTAAATGATGTAGCTACATAAAAATATTAAATAAATTGTTTATCTGGGAAATATCAAGTCTTTGGTCTTTTCTTCATTAGCATGCTGGCGATTTCAAGTTGTATTTGATTAATTTTTTATCTGTTAAGACATTGAATAAATGTTGTTTAGTACATTTAGTACATTTCATATGTTTAGTTCTCTGTGAGAAGCAAGCTCATTTAAAGTGATATGTGATTGGTGTATGTAGATACAACATTTCAATGTTGTTAACACACAGTAACCAAAAACCGGATCTAATTTGCATATTCATACTGAGTTTGCAACAAACAGTAGAATGTTCGCCACAAGTTTCCCAGAATTGTTTGCCAGAAGTTCACAAGTTGCCGCAAATTTGCCACAACAGTTTGCCACAAAACTAATTTGCATGTGAAAATATGAGCTTGCCCAAAGGTTTGCCACAACTGGTGGTCCTCTGTAGCTCAGCTGGTAGAGCACGGCGCTTGTAACGCCAAGGTAGTGGGTTCGAACCCCGGGACCACCCATACACAAAAAAAAATATGCACGCATGACTGTAAGTCGCTTTGGATAAAAGCGTCTGCTAAATGGCATATTATTATTATTATAACTGTTTGCCAGAAGCCTGTTTTTTTCTGTAAGGGCTGCCTCCGTAGAGTGTGTAGACCCCTTTACAGAACATGGAGATAATGCAATAAGACTGATCAGGATGTGTGCACTCTCAACAATGAGGATTCCTCCCTTCCGGCCCACGGGGTGATGCACATTCAGCAGCCATTTTTGGGGCCAGAACACAACACACTCCACATAACTGTACCTCTCAGAACTGTGGTCCACCACGTTCATGTCGCTGGGGGAGATGCGGAACTCGCTGATCCTGATCCGCTCGTCAAAGCCAATCTCCACGGAGTAGTATACATACAGCTTCCCGTTGTACTTGTAGTTGGGGTGAAAGGTCAGGCCCAGGAAGCCCCTCTCGTCCCCCTCCCAGGGCGACGTCAGAACGGCCTTGGTGATGTTCAAGAACGGCTTCTCCAGCTTGGAGCGGTCGGGCAGGTACGTCCACACCAGACCCACCTACGATATGATAATACATTCATTACGGAAATTCCTTTTTGTGAGGCCAACATATACATACAACAAAATACACAGACTCAATACACTATAGGGTGGTTTCCAGGACGCAGATTAAACTATTTTTTAAAGAGATTCTCCATTGGGCTTGTTTTTTAGTGCAGGTAAAGGACTAGGCTTAATCTGTGTCTGCATGGGAAAACGCCCCTATAATACCACAATGCAATACGAAAGCTCTTAAAGGAAAGTGAGCACACACACCTGCTCCGCTATAAAGAAGCGGTGTGTTCCGTCGTTGGCGTAAACCATGGCCAGGGGGTTCCGCAGGCCATTGGCTACCTCCTCCAGGCAGAGCTGCAGGCAACCCTCGGGGTCGGCCCGGACCCGGCCTAAGTTCTGTGTCAGCTGTTTGTTGCTGAGGAGGTGTGTACAATCGTTGTATCATTGAATCATACATAAACTGTACATCCCAATAAAAAATTTGAACATTTGCCCTACCCCACCCCCCCTCCCCAAGCAAACCCTTGGCAGCCCCACCTGAGAAGGTGTGGGTAACAGTAGTCTGGGTCCTCCAGCTCCAGGTGCTGGCAGAAGCGGTCCTGGTCCGTCTCAGCTTCGGCTAGCTGCGGGTCGTCAGAGAGCAAGGTGATGGTGGAACGGCATTTGAGCCAGAACTGAGAGCAGTAGTCAGGGCAGAGGCCAGGGAGGGTTCTGATGGGGGTGCTGGGGTCCTCTGCATCGAAGAGGTGAGCTGCATATGGAGAGCATTCCTGAAGGAGGGGAGAAAGAAGGGAAGGTGGAGAAACAGGAGAAATGAGGGGGAAGTCAGGGACCAACCAAACTCTTTCATTTGGGCACCCCCCCCCCTGTCCTCTTAGACATTTTGCCTGGTTCTGTGAAGCACGTACACTTTCGATTTGAGGAGATACGCTTGTTTTAACAACATGCATCTTATCATGGGGCTACCGAGTGGCGCAGCGGTCTAAGGCACTGCATCTCAGTGCTAGAGGCGTCACTACAGACACTGGTTTGATTCCAGGCTGTATCACAATCCGACGTGATTGGGAGTCCCATAGGGCGGCGCACAATTGGCCCAGCGTAGTCCGGGGAAAGCCGTCTTTGTAAATAAGAATTTGTTCTTAACTGACTTGCCTGGTTAAATAAATAATAATAATCAGTATAAGCTTATTTACATCCCTGTTAGTGAGCATTTCTCATTTGCTAAGATAATCCATGCACCTGACAGGTTTGACATATCAAGAAGCTGATTAAACAGCATGATCATTACACAGGTGAGGAGCAAACCCTTAGCAGGCCCACCTTGTGCTGGGGACAATAAAAGGCCACTCTAAAATGTGCAGTTTTGTCACACAACACAATGCCACAGATGTCTCAAGTTTTGAGGGAGCGTGCAATTGGCATGCTAACTGCAGGAATGTCCACCAGAGCTGTTGCCAGAGAATTTAATGTTCACTTCTTTTTCAGTCAAGTGTGTGTGGAGACGAATGTATTCGAGTAAGTCAGTCGTCCTGATAAGCCCTTTCCAGCGTATGTGCGCTAGTTAAAACTGGTAAAAGAAAGTGATGTTTAATTTCAATGGACGAGGGAGAAATAACTTGTAGTATTGGTCACCATCTCCAATTTGTTCCATCCCACTTGATTTTATTTTGAGTAGAATAGCAGCCTATACGAGAAATAGCTTGTTATATTGGTAGTAGGCCTAACCATCTGGATGTCTCTGATATACAGTCTACACTGCTCAATGGGGAGAGTTTGCGCTGCAAGCTGACAACACAACACGGGGCATAGTGTCCTTCACTCCCACTTGCCACAGTAAGGAGAGGGAAGTATACTGAACAAAAATATAAACACAACATGTAATGTTTTGGTCCGATGTTTCATGAGCTGAAATAAAAGATCCCAGAAATGTTCCATACGCACAAAAAGCTTATTTCTCTAAAATGTTGTGCACAAATTAGTTTACATCCCTCTTAGTGAGCATTTCTCATTTGCCAAGATAATCCATCCACCTGACAGATGTGGCATATCAAGAAGCTGATTAAACAGCATGATCATTACACAGGTGCACCTTGTGCTGGGGACAATTAAAGGACACTCTAAAGTGTGCAGTTTTGTCATACAACACAATGCCACAGATGTCTCATGTTTTGAGGGAGCATGCAATTGGCATGCTGACTGCAGGAATGTCCACCAGAGCTGTTGCCAGAGAATGTAATGTTCATTTCTCTACCATAAGCCGCCTCCAACGTCGTTTTATAGAATTTGGCAATACGTCCAACCAGCCTCACAACAGCAGCCCACGTGTAATCACGCCAGCCCAGGACCTCGACATCCAGCTTCTTCAACGAACATAATTGCATTTTATCAATAGCAATTTGAATGCACAGAGATACTGTGACGAGATCCTGAGGCCCATTGTCGTGCCATTCATCCGCCGCCATCATCTCATGTTTCAGCATGATAATGCACAGTCCCATGTCGCAAGGATCTGTACACAATTCCTGGAAGCTGAAAATGTCCCAGTTCTTCCATGGCCTGCATACTTACCAGATATGTCACCCATTGAGGATGTTTGGGATGCTCTGGATCGACGTGTACGACAGCGTGTTCCAGTTCCTGTCAATATCCAGCGACTTCGTACAGCTATTGAAGAGGAGTGGGACAACATTCCACAGGCCACAATCAACAGCCTGATCAACTCTATGCGAAGGAGATGTGTTGCGCTGCATGAGGCAAATGGTGGTCACAACAGATACTGACCAGTTTTCTGATCCACGCCCCTACCTTTTTTTAAGGTATCTTTGACCAACAGATGCATATCTGTATTCCCAGTCATGTGAAATCCATAGATTAGGGCCTCATTTATTTATTTTAATTGACTGATTTCCTTATATGAACTATAACTCAGTAAAATCTTTGAAATTGTTGCATGTTGCGTAAAAAATGTTGTTCAGTGTAGCTAGATAGTGTGGCCAGAGTGACAGCTAAAGGACATTTTATTGTAGTGATTTTCACCCCCAAAGAATGACAACTATGGCCTTAATGTCTAACGTTACATTTTTGTTTTTACAAAACAAACAATTACTCAGATAAAAAACTGAATGATTTTCAACACTCCCAAGTCCCAATTTCGGCAGACAAGTTTCAAATTCTTGCTGAAGTTTCTATCCACAAGCATAAACTAGCTAGCTGGAAAGGGCTCATCAGGATGATTGACTGAACTGACCGATCCGAATTGAACTTGACTCTCGCTGCTCAACAAACCTCATCAATTTGGACAAACCTCATCAATTTGGGCACCAGGCATGTCTGTAAAGCCTCTCCCCAGTTTTATAGCTAATTCATGCTATTTTACACCTTTTGCCATGAGGCTAAGAGAAAATATTGCTGTTTTAGAGCTAATTACCTGCTATTATACACATTTTGACATGAGGCAGAGCGCACATTTTGAAGTTTTAAAGCTACTTTCTGTAATAAATAAAAATCATGGCTTATGAAGTGTTCATATGCTATCTGTGGGGCCGACCTCCTGGGGGACCCCAACAAAGCTTTGGGAGGGGCCCCCAAAGCCCGTTGGGCCCCCTCCTTGTTGTGGTGTGTGCTAGGCTACGCCAGTGCCTAAAAACGCATGTCAGATCAGACCATTTTATTTGTAATTACATTATCTTTGTTTCGGTGAATGTGCCGCTGAATAACAAGTATATGCCTCTACAAACATGCCGGGACTCGCCAAAAACTGATGGATGATGTAATTCTGAAAACAACCAAGTATCGACCTTTACCCGCGCTTTGCTTACCTGGCAGAGAAGATCCTGCACATACCCAGCACAGTTGGCATATCCATAATAGTCGAAATTGTCCATGATCTTATAGAATTTAGCCATCAATTCCTGGTCCTTGGCAGAGTCGCAGCAGCCGAAGTTCCTGTACATTGCGCAGAACTGGAGGTCATCTTGAGGCTTGAAGGGGGGCTTGAAATCCAAGCATTGTGGGTGTAAGAACACAGGTGCTATAAAAAATGCAAACAAATATAACCGAATGATCGGTGAGTGCCAAACACGGCCGAATAAATCACAACAATACAACATAATGACGTTACTTCAGGTCACCCGGTGCACCACTCGAACTTCAAGGATCAGAAATGCAACGAGTCTCCCTCCGGTTCTACAGCCCCGTTGACGCCTTGTGTGTGTTTGAGAGCGAGAGCAATCGGTTCACTGCACTTTGCTCTATATCTTTAATAATCAACTTTCGACGGAATGCAGTCCGTTTTATGTGTTATTCAACCGCGCAAGACATTACGTCGTCTCTATGTAGCCTATAGGCTAGTTTTGAATTCTCGTGCTAAACGTCCCGGCCCCGTCTTAAGAAATGCAGCAGTCTTTTGCTGTCTGTTTCCTCCGTTTTGTAAGTGTGCTTGACCGCAGACGTAAATCATCTTTGCTCCACTATTACTATTCATATCCCCTATCTGCCTTGAGACCCGCACAAAACACACAATAATAGGAGAGGAAGTCATGGTAACAGTCCTTTCTGAGACAGTTGTGTTTTCAGACAGACATCAAAACATTGAGAAGAGGCCTAATGCAATAAACAGAAGACAAACACAACGGAGTTATTCCACTTCTTTGGATGACTTTTGTGACTGTCAGTCAATTAACTCACTCTTGTATTATTCGAACAATAAATTCACTAATTTAGCTATATTAATACAGTATTAATATAGCTAAATTAGTTAATGTATTATTGTGTTCCACATGAATGGAAATAATATATATTTCTAATTCCACACCAATAATTGTATTTCTTTGATAGAACCATTTCATTCTAGGATTTATTTATTTTTGGTCTGGATTTTCTCAGGATTTGTTTTCTAAATTCTGCATCATATGTATGAAGTGGTTTTGCAACAATGTAGCCTAAAGTGTGGCATGGTGGAATTAAAACATTTCTACAACTGCCTTGTTGCAACATTGTTGCAGTTTTTGGTGCAATCAATCAATCAATCAATCAATCAAATGTTATTTATAAAGCCCTTTTTACATCAGCAGATGTCACAAAGTGCTATACAGAAACCCAGCATAAAACCCTAAACAGCAAGCAATGCAGATGTAGAAGCACGGTGGCTAGGAAAAACTCCCTAGAAAGGCAGCAACCTAGGAAGAAACCTAGAGAGGAACCAGGCTCTGAGGAGTGGCCAGTCCCCTTCTGGTTGTGCCGGGTGGAGATTATATCAGTACATGGCCATTAAGGCCAGATTTTTCTCCAAGATGTTCAAACGTTCATAGATGACCAGAAGGGTCAAATAATAATCACAGGGGTTGTAGCGGTTGCAACAGGTCAGTACATCAGGAGTAAATGTCACTTGGCTTTTCATAGCCGGGCATTTAGAGGTTGAAATAGCAGGTGCGGTAGAGAGAGAGTTGAAAACAGCAGGTCTGGGACAAGGTAGCACGTCCGGTGAACAGGTCAGGGTTCCATAGCCGCAGGCAGAAGAGTGGAAACTGGAGCAGCATCACCACCAGGTGGACTGGGGACAGCGAGGAGTCATCAAGCCAGGTAGTCCTGAGGCATGGTCCTAGGGCTCAGGTCCTCTGGGATGGGAGGGGGAGAGAGAGAGAATTAGAGGGAGCATACTTAAATTCACACAGGACACCGGATAAGACAGGAGAATAACACCAGATATAACAGACTGACCCTAGCCCCCCGGCACATAGACTATTGCAGCATAGATACTGGAGGCTGAGACTGGGGTGCAATGTTGTCTTTGCCACTAGATGGCAACCTGTTCAAACAATATTCTTGAAATATTGTTTCGGCACAACGTCCCAACATCGTCCCAACCCATGGCGTCACAACTTGTTGAATTTTAGTAAACGATCAACAACTTTATTTATGGATTAACCTCTTAAATGTAGGAACTAAATGTAATCTAAAATGTAATCTACATAATCCTCTAAAGTAATTATTTATCATGAAGGCCATAAAAAATAACTAGTAATGTTGCATACTCCAATAAAGGTTACAATCTCACCTTTCTGGTCAAATGTTTTATAAATTGCTTTGGTGTAGTCACTTTTGAGGACACAAGCTCAAATACACAGTAAACACATATGATCAAAAAAGCTTTTAAGCTTTAGAATCAATGTCATAGGCCTATAGTTCTCAGTGGCCTCTCCCCCCTGCAAAGCCTGACAGTAAACTATTGTGGTAATTTAAGACGGGGTGAATGAGGAAGAATATATGCATATATGCATAATAACTATGCATCAAACCCCTAGGCAAATAATGAGAAGACTCCACCAAGCAAAACATCTGTATCTACAGCCATAGCTAATAATTATTCTACAATATAATCTTTTTTATTTGTTAATTAGACGCCCATTTGTCACATTCCATAACATATTTCCATACAGGATCATACAAAGTTAGGCATAGGCTACTCCTGTTATAACTTTATCATTAGCCAGTAACCTAAAGAGTATTTCATTCGTTTTTTTTATTATCCGGAAAATGATGGGCAATCGGCCTATTGTGGCCTCGTATGTATTTGTATTCCAAATAGGCCTATTCATTTTTTGTTTACGACCAAATGCACTTCAGTTTACATTCCGAATCTTGAAATGGGAGATGTTCCCCTAATTAAATCTGCCAGCTGGCCCTTTAAGAAGACTGAACAGTGGAGTCAAAGCACAAGGCTCTCCTTTTATCTACCTGCTCCAACTACTAGGCCACTGGTTTCCACTAGTCCCTGATTGGTCGCCCGAACAAGTCTTCTTGAGTTGGTTGCATCAAGCCTGAAGCTGACAGGGTGCTGAGATCATAGGGCGAATTGAACTAAGTCTGATTCCAACCTGGCTGCCTTGATGGAGGACATCATTTGATCAGAATACTATAACCCTAGTGCATGTCGGCCTTGCTTGGAAAGGAGGAATTGCTTTATGAGCTCGTCCGCGCTTGTTAACGGGAACATTTCTGTCTTCTGAATTAATATTGCCTGGCTGAAAGCAAACCTGCGCTGTGGACACACAAGCTCTGACATCACGAGTTTATGCAGTGCTTGCTGATGATCAGCGAGGCTGTGGGAGATCCTTCCCAGTCACTCGGTGAATCCGATGTCCAAAGAGAACCATCTCTCTCCCGGTCTGTCCGGTGCGTAAAAGCGGGCACGGCGTCTCTCCAAACTCCACTCTGAGAGCAGTTACCGAAATGGAATGAAAACGAAAATCTGCTTTTAGAGATTTTGCTGATTTTTACAAGGAGATTATCTACGGTACGGCTGCGTGCCTGCCTGCTTACTTGCCTGCCTATTTGGGACACCTGCTTAGCTCCAACGCGCTTTTATTAGGCTACAGATTCCTGGCGTGTTGAATTCATCGTTATCCTTCCTTCATATCGCATTGGAATAATTTAATCTATCATGGATTTGATTTTCTTTACAAAGTCACCGTTTAGGCTCGGTTAGACATCCTATAGATTCGGACACTGTAGAGTTCCATTGAACCCACGCAGCAGCGCAACACCAGGAGCGGAACATGGACAAAAATGCCACAGACGGACCGTTGCGGGATGACTTGAGCAAACTCACGGACGAGGAGCTCTCCAGGCTCGGAAAAGACGAGCTCATCAGGAGGCTACGGAAAACGGATAACGAGAAAATGAACTTAATGGTGGAGCACGGGAACATGATGAAAGACGTGAACCGGAGACTACAGGTCCACCTTCACGAGATCCGCAGTCTCAAGGAGATCAACCAGAAGCTCCAGGACGACAACCACGAGCTCCGGGAGCTCTGCTGTTTCCTGGACGACGACAGGCAGAAGGGCAAGAAGCTGTCCCGGGAGTGGCAACGCTTCGGCCGCTACACCGCCGGATCGATGTGGAAGGATGTCGGGGTGTACCATCAGAAGCTGAAGGATCTGGAAGCCAACCAGGACTCTGTGATGCGGGAGAACCTGGAACTGAAGGAGATCATTCTGATGTTGGAGGATGAGAGGAACGGAGCCGGGTCACGGAGCTCTATAGACTCCCAGTCCAGCCTGACCAACCTGAACGGGGGCACCGGAACCGTTAGGGACGTCGGGGACGGGAGTAGTACCTCCAGCACCGGCAGTGCCGGTAGTCCTGACCACCACCACCACCACAATCACATACATAAGCCGGCCGAGGGGAAGATAGCATCCTTGCAGAGGTCTATGGACGATCTGTCGCCAGCGTCACACATCCATAGGAGCATCCCTAATGAACTGCATGGTGAGTCCATAGAATGACATAGAATCCTATGAATGATATAATCTGTGTGGGTGAGTCTCCCTACAAAGTGCCACAAAACCCCCAACTTGGCCAGTGCGCCTTATTATTGAAGATGATATGGATCTTCATTTTATAGGCTACCTTTAGTTTGATATATAGGGCTCCGATGTGTGAATGAATGGGTGGTAGGCAGCCTAGTGCTGTCCTGTTATGCAGATTTATTAAATGTATAGCCTACAGATGTGAGACATGAACCATTCTGAAATCTGCCCTAGCTGGCTGTGTGAGTAGAGAAAGTGAATGAGAGTTTAATATGCCTATAGTCAAGAACACAAGTTACTTGTAAGTGTGTGACAGAGTGGTTTGAATTGAAGCCCTATCCAAAAATCATACATTACGGTTACTTTTGAGTCTTGTAGGGCACTATATACGGAGCTATCTGGGACACAACCTAGAATTCAAGCACCCCACTTGTCACACTGATGCCCTTAACTCACACCTCTGACATCAGAGTGTTCCAGTGGCATCATGATAAAATCAGTCTTATCAGGAAGGAGTCAGGCCAGTTTGGAACATGCCCAGGCCATCATGACCTCCTGACCTGTTAATGGTCCACAAGGAGACATGGAGAGTCCGATAAGGACCTATCACCCCGAAACCAGACAGTCTTTAAAACAATGTCCCTCCCACCTTTGATTACGGTCTGCATTTCAATCTAATCTGTGCATCCATAACCACCTTGCACTGTATCCTGTATGTCAAATCACAAGAGGCTCATGTGCAACCTAATGTAAAATGTGACAGATGCTTATTTGTCGGTTCATGGTCAGCTAGTATGCTATACATAAACACCTCCTTGGAAGGTGAACTTCCTGTCATGCCCTGTTACATAGT